AAGCAAAACCAGGGTCTGGACGGGAATGTGTTGGCAAAAGTAAATGGAATGTTTATTGGGGGACGGTCAAGTCGTGCGTCCGAGGGTGCGCGCGACAAACGGCGCGGCGAAGTTCATGTTGATTCTGGGCTTTAGCGCCTATTATTTCGGCCCAATTTTGAAGTACAGTAGAAAAGTAGGATCAGCTGGCCTTACTAATCAACCCTACTTCAGATTTGGGCCCCAATGATAAACGCCGCAGTCATCCGAATTCGCCACTAACTTCGCCGCGCAGTTTGCCGCGCGCACCTTCGGACGCACGATTTGACCGTCCCCCATGCTTGCGACGTGTGGGTCCCGGTGCGACTGGTGCAACATCTACAGGGTCTCCAACGCTGTGAGACTTCCACCTTGGGAGTGTACGTCGGCTAGGTCGGTTTTGTAGCCCTTATTAGGCGAAATTCAAGCCGTTTTTCGGTTCATCAGCCTTCCCTGTGCTATCCCTGGGGACAACAGGCTCTCGATCCTTTTTGTTGTGAACTATGTCGTTAAGCTCACCCTTGCGTTCGAATACGTATTCGGCGTATACGACGGTTTTCGAAGGTCAATAATTCCCTATTTTTAAAGTTATCCCATGAACAGACGCAGAGCTTTTCTTACTTTTCAGCTGGACAAAATGACTGTGTGATTGATAAAGCCCGTCGAAATTGGTGTCCATCGTGTCGACTTGCAAAGTGCTTTCGACTGAACATGAACTCAAAAGGTTGCTTCATTTAGAATTTCGTAGTTGAAAAGATGATTTTGAGCCATAATCTCCTTTCAGCCGTGCAGGGCGAACGTGGCCCCCGGTATGCAGCTTCATCCCTACTACAACGATCTGCTTTCCGAAGAGACAAACTACGAGGTTCTTCTTGAAGTCTGTCTTTTGATTGCTGTTCTTTCAACCAAATGAAATTGCAGGGTCACGTAGAGGACGTGCAAAGACGGCTACAATAACCCCTGGTTTTTCTTTAGATGGTTTATTCATGGCGGCAATGTTCGCTGTGAGTCAGTCAGTACTCCTTTCCTTCAGTACTGTTGAAGAGCGACGTGCACTACTCAGTGAGCGATACTCCACGTTTTTCGCCTTGGCCCTGGCCACCGCCGATGGGGAAACCAGTGCTATTGTGAGTGACGAAAATAATTTTCTTGATACCCTACTAACCAGGTTTGAATAGTGTAGCTATGTGAATCGCTCAGGTGCATTTGCCATTTTTCTAATAAAAATCATTCTGCAATTCTGGGGAGGAGCTACATTATCTCCTGGACATCGGGAAGGAGCACTACTTGCACCAAAACGATGGGTGTTGAAAGGACCTACTGAAGATAACTGAAAGATACTTGAATTTCATCTCATCGCCTGGCTAGTTGGCTCCAAATATGGGGCTGATTACTACCGAACACTTGATCCTGTAGAAGGGTCGTGGAAAAGGACCACTGAATGCAGTAGTATGAAGCCCCGGCTTTGTGTGCCTGTTGTGTTGCATTGAAAGGATTACAGCCATTGGGATGGACTTCAAGGGAGGAGCACTGGGCGTGTAAGCTGTTAATCGCTACAAAAAGTTTGAAAGAAAGAGGAAATGATCAGAGAATGCAGTCTCAACGCGCAGGGGGCGAGAGAATCCCTTGCCCCTT